CACCTCCACCTACCCTGTGTGCATCCATCCAGGTGTGGGAATTGCTGGTTGGGGTTCACTCTCCGCTCTCTGACTTTCGGGCCTCTTTGCCGAGAGTGGCACACACACGCTGCCCCTTAGGCCCTCCTGGTGCCCACTGCAGCAGCCTGGACAATCGGGCACTTGTGCCTCGGAGCCATGGCAAGCCCTGATTCAGAGTAAATGTTTGTCCTGGTTCCTTCCAGGGATGGGGTCTGGGGCAGCTGTGGGCTTGCGGGAAGAAGCTGGGCCGGGCTTCAGAATTCCAGGGATGGAGTGCTGGGCCAGTCTGTCACTCGCTAGCTGTGTGAGCCTGCTCAGGCCGCTGGACATCTCTGAGCCTGGTTTCTCCATATGCAGAATGGGAGGCACAAGGAGCACTGACTCAGGTCCTAACCAAGGACATGCATGCCTCTGGCCTTCCAGAATGACCAGCGAGACTGCTTTGGAGGCAGGAAATGCTATGTTCTCATCTCAAATTATGTACTTCTCACACAAACCATACTGGACCTTTATTTTCTGTACTTTAAAAAAGACTTTATTTCATTACTTTTAGAGAGAGGGGGAAGGGAGGAAGAAAGAGAGGGAAACATCACTTTGCAGTTGCCTCTCTCGCGCCCCCCACTGGGGGGCCTGACCCGCAACCCAATCATGTGCCCTGACTGGGAATCGAACCGGCGACCCTTTGGTTCACAGACCAGCACTCGATCCACTGAGCCACACCAGGCAGGGCCATACTGGACTTCTACATTCGTTTTTTATATCAGCCTCTCCGGGACTCCTGCGTATGCATGAGAAGCTATTGCTAGGACCACAGCTTTTACTCTCCAGTGACCAATATCAATCCTGCCTGGCTGAATGGCTTTCCTCTGCTGTTGCATAGCAACCTCCCTTGTCAGCTGCTTGTGTCTCTTCGGCCCTTCCCTGGATGACATGTTTCTGCGGAAGGTGAGCAGACCCTAGAAAAGAAAGCCTTGACAAACCGCTATATGGTAATAGAAAATGTCATGTTCCCATCTCAAACTGACCAGTGCTTTTTACCAAAAACCATACTGGACTTTTATATCCGCTTTTCTTTCCATCTTCTTAAAAAGAAAGCAAATTTTTCTTTCTTTTTATTTTATTTCATCTTTTACTTTAAGTATATTTTATTGATTATGCTATTACAGTTGTCCCATTTTTTCCTCCCTCTTATCCCCCTTTGTCCTGCACCCCCTCCCACCAGCATCCCTCCCCCCTTAGTTCATGTCCATGGGTTGTACATGTAAGTTCATTGACTTCTCCATTTCCTATACTATTCTTAACCTCCCCCTGTCTATTTTGTATCTACCATCTGTGCTTCTTATTCCCTGTACCTTTTTCCTCATTCTCCCCCTCCCCCTCCCCACTGATGACCCTCCATGTAATCTCCACTTCTGTGATTCTGTTTCTATTCCAGTTGTTTGCTTAGTTTGTTTTTAGATTTCTTTTTTCTTAGATAAGTCCCTTTAACATTTCACATAATAAGGGGCTTGGTGATGAGGAACTCTTTTACTTGACCTCATCTGGGAAGCACTTTATCTGCTCTTCCATTCTAAATGATAGCTCAGCTGGATAGTCATCTTGTGTCTAGGTGCTTGTCTTTCATGACTTGGAATACTTCTTTCTAGTCCCTTCTTGCCTGCAAATTTTCTTTTGTGAAATCAGCTGCTAGTCTTATGGGAACTCCTTTATAGGTAACTCTCCTTTCCTCTTGCTACTTTTAAGATTCTCTCCTTACCTTTAATCTTGGGTGATGTCATTACGATGTGCCTTGGTTTGTGTTTCCTTGAGCCCAATCTCTTTGGGACTATCTGCACTTCCTGGACTTCCTGGAAGTCTATTTCCTTTGCCAGATTGGGGAAGTTCTCCTTCAGTATTTTTTCAAATAAGCCCTCAATTTCTTGCTCTTCCTCTTCTCATTCTGGCACCCTGACGATTTAGATGTTGGAATGTATAAAGTTGTCCTGGAGGTTCCTAAGCCTCTCCTCATTTTTTTTTGAATTCTTGTTTCTTCATTCTGTTGTGGTTGAATGTTTATTTCTTCCTTCTGCTCTTCAGAACCTTTCCTTCTTCCTCTCCTTTTTGACCATACCCAACCATTTCTGTGAGCATCCTGATTACCTGTGTTTTGAACTTTGCCTCTGATAGGTTGGCTATCTCTTCATCACTTAATTGCTTTTCCTAAGTTTTGATCTGTTCTTTCATTTGGGCCATATTTCTTTGTCTCTGGCCACCTGTTGAGTTGTAAAGGGCGGTGCCTTAGGTATTCACCAGGACAGGGCAATGGAAGTCACTGTGTTGTGGCGCTCTGTGTGGGGGAGGGGTCAAAGAGGGAACAATACCGCTTGCTTGGCTCTCCGCTGGCTTTCGGTCACTTCCCCCACACTACCCACCAGCACATTGGGCTGGTTCCTCATAGGTAAGGAACCCCTTTTACATACTTACCCACCCCATCCCTCTTGTTTCTAAAACTCCCATCTTCATAATATCAGTAAATGGCACCATTATCCACAAAATACTCCAAGAAAGGAAAGTCATCTACCACCACTGCTTCTTTCTCCTACACTGCACCCAGAAGGGAAACGTCTTTAGCGCTCCAGAGCAACCTGTCTGTACAGCTTTCTCCCCTCTGTCACTCTCAGCAAATTCTGAGTCACATGGCCTCCTGGAATTCTCAGCTCTGTGTCCTTCACTCAGATTGTCCACTGGACTCTGTTTATGTTCAACCTCCTTGTACTGCAGCTTGTAAACACTATCCAGGCAAGAAGCTAAGGGAACTGGACTATCTGAGGGCTAACCTTCATGGTTTTCCTTTTCTAGCTTATCATTGTCCTGTTTGGACTATGATGCCATTATGTAAAGCTTTATAATGTAAAGTTCTTTACATTTAATCTATCTACCCCCAGGAGGTAGTATAATCAATAAAATATACTTAAAGTAAAAGATGAAATAAAATAAAAAGAAAGAAAAATTTGCTTTCTTTTTAAGAAGATGGAAAGAAAAGCGGATATAAAAGTCCAGTATGGTTTTTGGTAAAAAGCACTGGTCAGTTTGAGATGGGAACATGACATTTTCTATTACCATATAGCGGTTTGTCAAGGCTTTCTTTTCTAGGGTCTGCTCACCTTCCGCAGAAACATGTCATCCAGGAAGGGCTGAAGAGACACAAGCAGCTGACAAGGGAGGTTGCTATGCAACAGCAGAGGAAAGCCATTCAGCCAGGCAGGATTGATATTGGTCACTGGAGAGTAAAAGCTGTGGTCCTAGCAATAGCTTCTCATGCATACGCAGGAGTCCCGGAGAGGCTGATATAAAAAACGAATGTAGAAGTCCAGTATGGCCCTGCCTGGTGTGGCTCAGTGGATCGAGTGCTGGTCTGTGAACCAAAGGGTCGCCGGTTCGATTCCCAGTCAGGGCACATGATTGGGTTGCGGGTCAGGCCCCCCAGTGGGGGGCGCGAGAGAGGCAACTGCAAAGTGATGTTTCCCTCTCTTTCTTCCTCCCTTCCCCTCTCTCTAAAAGTAATGAAATAAAGTCTTTTTTAAAGTACAGAAAATAAAGGTCCAGTATGGTTTGTGTGAGAAGTACATAATTTGAGATGAGAACATAGCATTTCCTGCCTCCAAAGCAGTCTCGCTGGTCGTTCTGGAAGGCCAGAGGCATGCATGTCCTTGGTTAGGACCTGAGTCAGTGCTCCTTGTGCTTCCCATTCTGCATATGGAGAAACCAGGCTCAGAGATGTCCAGCGGCCTGAGCAGGCTCACACAGCTAGCGAGTGACAGACTGGCCCAGCACTCCATCCCTGGAATTCTGAAGCCCGGCCCAGCTTCTTCCCGCAAGCCCACAGCTGCCCCAGACCCCATCCCTGGAAGGAACCAGGACAAACATTTACTCTGAATCAGGGCTTGCCATGGCTCCGAGGCACAAGTGCCCGATTGTCCAGGCTGCTGCAGTGGGCACCAGGAGGGCCTAAGGGGCAGCGTGTGTGTGCCACTCTCGGCAAAGAGGCCCGAAAGTCAGAGAGCGGAGAGTGAACCCCAACCAGCAATTCCCACACCTGGATGGATGCACACAGGGTAGGTGGAGGTGGGGCTGGGGGGGCCTCTACCTGTGTCCTCCCAGGTGCAGAGCATGAGCACGAGCTCGGGTCTCAGACAATGCAAAGCTTGCTTGTTTGGGACAGATGTTGACGGGGCAGGGAAGGCGGGTGGGGAGCTGTCACTGAAACTGAACAGGGGAGGATACCTCAGTCCCCCGGGCCAGCACTAGGCACACCTGGAGCCCAAATTCTACATTTTCTGTTCACTGGCTCTGCGGCCTCGTGTAATTAGTCCCTACAGTGTGTCTGTGCCTCAGCTTCCTGACCTGTAAAATGGGGATGCTGACATCGACCTCCCAGGGCCGCTGTGAGAGGAAGACAAGCCTCAGCCAAGATCTGGCTGTGATGCACAAGCTGCATAAAGAGTGATTGAAGAAGCAGATGTCCCCAGGGTGTCTGGAGGCCACAGAGGTGGACCCAGTGGAGGGGAACACAAAGGGAACTGGTCTCCTCTGTTTGCATTTCCCTTGTTGCTACAGACCTCTGTACTTGTGACCTAGGGATCACGCTGGGGGAACCGGTGCCTAGTGGATTCCGGAGCGCACTTGGAGGAGCTTAGGGGAAAGGTGGAGGGCAGAGCCGCAAAAGTGGGAGGTACCGAGGGTAGAGGATTGGGTGGGTTGAACTGCACCACACCGGGTGAGGTCGCACCTGCAGTCAGAGGTGGGGGTGGAAAGGGGAATGTGGCGGGAAGGAAAAAACGCCTCCCCCCATCCCGCCCGCCCACCCGCGGGATCGCCTGCGCGCTGGGGACCTGGCGGACGGGGCTTTTGTTGGGAAAGCGGCGGGCTGGAGGGGGTCTGCGCATGCGCAGGCTGCCAGCCGTGGGGTGGGGGTGTGCGGAGAAAAGGGGCGGGGTGGTAGGAGCTGCTGTGCTGGCAGCAGTAGGCGAGGGTGCGGCTGCGGGGTTCCCGGTGCTGAGGACCGACGCCATTGGAGCCCCAGGGAAGGTAAGGATCCAGCCTCGGACCGGACCGGACCGGACCGGACCGGGAGAGGGCGGGTGGAACCCGGCTCGCTGCGCCACCCCTTCGCGCACAACGCACCCCACCTCCCTGCAACGCTCCCCGCACCCGGGAGCTGAACAAAGCCCAAGCACTCAAAACCCGAACCCCGTTAGACCCGTGGTCCGGATGGGAGTCCCCTCTGCCCCGCCGCCAGACCCAGGCTTCCGGACCCTAACCGTCTTTCGCAGACCCGTGCGCTCTGGGCTGACCTGCCTTAGACACAGGCCCCATCCCCGCCCAGCCACTCCTAGATCACTCCCACCCAGCTGACCACTTTGCCTCCTTCCTGGAGTTGCGATCCTGGGTTTTGACACCTCCGGCGCTCCAAATGGAGCCTCACCTGGTCCAAGGCCCCCATCCCATCTACCCCTAGCGCTCCTGTGTGAGCCCAGCCTGACCGGAATGCCCCCACCCACCCGGACCTCGCCAGAGGCTCCCTGGGATTCAGTTTCCCAGAGCTTTTCGCAGTCCCCATGGGTCTGAGCCCTCACCTTGCATCTTCTCACCCTTCATCCTGGCTCCCTGCTCCAGCCCTTAAATTCAGGCCCTTTGTTTCTCCTTCTCTCCCTGCATCCATCCCTGTTGGGGCTCTTCAGACCCGAGGCCACCAGTCCACCCCTCCATTCAAATCCAGCCACTGGGGTGGGGAGCCTGCCTCCACCTTTCAGTGTGGCCGTCTCCCTCTTACCTCTTCTACCCCTCTCTTAGGGCTCTGTCTCTGACAGAGTCCACCCCAACAGACTTCCCCCCCAACCCCTGCTGCCGCCTAGTAAGGGGCCGGCTGATGGGTGCTGCGCTCCCCCCCCCACCCCGCCCCCAAGAGATCATGCCTCCACTGGATCCCCCACCTCCCCCAGAGGCCTCACTCATCCTTCCTCTCAGGCTGAGCTCTCTTCTTCTTGGGACACCGACCGGCATGGCTGAGGGGAGCTTCCGCTTGGAATCCGAAAGCTACACCGCTGAAGACATGGACGAGGGTAGCGATGAAGTTGGGGAGGAAGAGATGGTTGGAGGAAATGAGTATGAAGAATTTGGTGCTTTTGGAGGCTATGGCACCTTCACCAGCTTTGACATTCGTCTCCTCAGAGCCTTTGGGAGCTTGGGTCCAGGCCTTCACATCTTGGCGGTGAGGCCCCTTCTTGGCCACCTGCCGGCCCTGCCAAAACTGGGAGGGGAGTGGAGGTTTTACGCAGAGGGGAGGGCCGATGGGGCAGGACTGCTTAGCCACTCCAAATGGAACCTTCCCTTTCCTTCTGGGAGGGAGAGGGTCGGTGAGGGTCTTGGTAGGGGCTGGAGGACTGCCCGGTGGGGGGGCTGGCCAGCACAAGGAAGCGTGATGCGAGTGTGTAAAGTTGTCTGCCTGCCTTTACCCTTCTGTCTGGCCTTGCAGAATGAGCCCTGGGAACTGGAAAACCCGATGCTGGCCCAGACTCTGGTGGAGGCACTTCAGCTGGATCCTGAAACACTTGCCAGTGAGGCGGAGGCTCGGGCTGCCAATGCAGCCCGAGCTGCCGCCTCCAACCGCGCTGCTCGGGCCGCTGCCGCTGCTGCTCGGGCCATCTACAATCAGGTGGTCACCAGCCACCCGCTGGCCACCAGCCACCCGCTGGCCACAAACCAGGCCTCCAGAGACAATACCCCACCCATGACATATGCGGTCGAGGCTCAGGAAGGCACCCCGGAGACGACCCTCGCTTCTCCGCACAGCTCCCAGATGCCAGTCAACAGTGACATGGCTGCCTCTGGGGCTCCAGCAACCTCCTCGCAGCCCCGGCCAGCCTCCCGGGCCCAGGAGGCTGCTACTGAGGGTCCCAGTACTGCCTGTGCTTCCTCTCAGGCTCCATGTGCCAGTGAGGTGGATGCCACCCAGCTCAAGACAGTCTTTCTGGGTCAGAATGATGTCTTTGATTTCACCCAGCCGGCTGGTGTCAGTGGCATCGCCTTCCCACGCCCCAGGAGGCCCACCCCGGCCCAAGATGTGGCCAGAGAGGGCCCCAGTGCTGCCTCCCGGGTGCCTCAGACTGCATCTTCCGGGGAGGGGGCGGCCACTCGGCCCAAAACGACCAAGTCTGGGAAGGCTCTCGCTAAGACTCGGTGGGTGGAGCCTCAGAATGTTGTGGCAGCAGCTGCTGCCAAGGCCAAGATGGCCACGAGCGCCCCTGAGCCCGAGAGTGCAGCTGCTGCTGCTCAGAACAGTGCTGAGCCCTGGGCCAGGATGGGAGGCAAGAGGACAAAGAAGGTGAGACCTCCCTGCCTTCTCCAACCCCCCTCGTTCTTCCCTTTTCTCCTCTCCTTTTCCCTCCCCTCCTGTCTCTTCCCTTCCCTTCTCTCCCCCCCCCCACTCTTCTTCTCTCAGCTTGTCCAAGTTTCTACAACACAAGCGTGCTACGTGTCCTTACTGCATGCAGTCACTACCCTCCGGCCTGGAGGGAAAAGAGAGATTGGCTCAGTGCCCGGCACTTAGTAAGCCCTCTGCACATGTCATCTGCTGTTCCTACTGCTCTTATTTCCAAGTACCTGCTCTGGTGAAGATGTTGCCAGGGGCTTGGGCACAGGAAGCTTGGTAGCCCTGGGTCTCTCCTCTCCCCAATGCTACAGTCTAAGCACCTGGATGATGAGTATGAAAGCAGCGAGGAGGAGAGAGAGCCTCCTGCTGTCCCACCGACCTGGAGAACATCGCAGCCCCCATTGACAGTGAGGGCTCAGATGGCCCCTCGACCCCCGATGGCCCTGAGGTCCCAGGTACCCTCGAGGCACGTACTGTGCTTGCCACCTCGCAACGTGGCCCTTCTGCAAGAGAGGGTAAGGAGTCTGCCCTTTCCCTTCTCCCTCCTGCTCCTCCCTTGCTGGCCAGTTTTTTTTGTTTGTTTGTTTGTTTTGTTTTTTTGCACTCTCACCACATGCCTTCACCTCCCCTTCTCCAGGCAAATAAGTTGGTGAAATACCTGATGATTAAGGACTACAAGAAGATCCCCATCAAGCGCTCAGGTGGACAACTGTACCCCATCCCCGAGCTCTGCCCTCACTCCCCCTCCCTCAACCCTCCTCAGTGGTGTCCCCCCACCCCCGCCATCAGATACCCCCAACTGCCAGGCCTTGCCTGATGGCTCCAAGCTCACAGTACACCGCGGGGTCCTGACTGTGCTCCCCTCTGCAGCCCTGGCCCCAGCTCAGCCCGGGTGCTTTCCCACCTCTTTCCTCCTGCAGACATGCTGAAGGACGTCATCCGAGAATACGACGAACACTTCCCAGAGATCATTGAACGAGCAACGTACACCTTGGAAAAGGTGGGTTGGGGGGATGGAGGGCAGCTCTCTGGAACGTGAGCGGCAGGGAAGCCTGGGCACCCTGCAGCCTTTGGAGGCCCAGTGTCAGTACTGCCTGCTCTAGAAGCCTTGCCTAGCTTCTCCACCTGGGAGCTCCCACTGCATACTTCCTCCCCCCTTGTGCTCTGGGAGGTCTCTGGTCTCCCGAAGGGGGTCCTGTTGCCTCAGCCAATGCCAGAGCTCCCAGAGGCCAGTTCCTCTGCGTCCTCTCTTGTTCTGTCGTCCCCCGTGACATTTGAGTTCCCTGCCCAGGAAATGTTCTGGCGGGGAATGGAGTGACTACCTGGGGGACACTCGGCCTGGATCTTTGACCTCACGGTCTTGTTTTCTCCCTCCCCCCTAGAAGTTTGGGATCCACCTGAAGGAGATCGACAAGGAAGAACATCTGTACATTCTTGTGTGCACGCAGGATTCTTCAGCACGCCTCCTGGGAAAGTGAGAAAGGGCAGGAGGGTCGTGGCCTTCCCAGGTGCTGCCTCCCCCTCCTCTCAGAGAAACAGGAAAACAGGGCCCGAGGGCCTGGAGCACAGTGCCCACCTCCTGTTGTCAAGTGATTACCAGCTGGGCCAGGCCTTGCTGCAGTGGGGATTCCACCCCTGCCCGCCCACGCCCCTCCTCCCCCCCAAGAAAGCAGGCTTCTCGTTGCTGTCCTCTTCCTGCTAAGTGCCTGCCTGTGGCTGGGCAGAGTGCTTGGTCCGGGGGCAGCTTTCTGTCCAGTGTGCGCCCCGTGGGCAAAGGGCAGGCAAGGCGTGGATGAGCCTCTGGACACACCTTCGGCAAGCGTTTGCTCCCGCTGGCCAACCCTGTCCTTGGCGGAATCCTGGGAGGGGGGTGTTAGCATCCACACCTGATGGATGAAGTGATGTAATCGCAAGCGGAGGAAGAAGAAGGAGTTGTGTGGATCGGGTAGCAAACCACGCGCAGAGAGGCAAGAATTGCCCTGTAGCGCGTGGAGCGGTCTGGGAGAGGCTACTTGGGTGAGCTGACTGCAGTCTCTGGGGCTAATGGCTGCTGGACAGGATCCCTCTTTCTACACTTTTAGGACCAAGGACACTCCCAGGCTGAGTCTTCTCTTGGTGATTCTGGGAGTCATCTTCATGAATGGCAACCGTGCCAGCGAGGGTGAGTGGCGGGGCCTGCAGGCGGGGGGGTTGCCTCCACCCCCGTCTCACCTTCGCGTTTCAAATTCTTGTACCTCATCTCCCCTGGCAGCTGTCCTCTGGGAGGCACTACGCAAGATGGGACTGCGCCCTGGGTATGATTGGGCTCTCTGGGCTCCCAGTGCCCCTCAGCGTTGTCCTGGGGCACGGGAGGCCCCAGGATTGCAACAACCCGATGGCCTGGTGCAGGGGAGCGGGCGTCCTGGACTAGGCAGCGCGCAGAGGGCCTCACCAGGGTGCATGGCGAAATGGTCCTGAACTCTCAGCCCCCTCTCTGCTCCATGTCCCCTCTCTGTCCCCAGAGGAGATCTAAGAGAAACCATCAGAATTCGGGGCTCCATCAAACCCCTCTGTCGGCCATTGCTGTCGGACCTCTGCTGCATGCCCAGGCCTCACGGGGATGCCCCACGGGCCAGGAAGTTCTCAATCCTGGTAGCGAGTGCTCCTGCCCGCACCTGGGCACTGCCACCGGCACTAGTCATGGACTCCTTTCCTTGCCCTCAGGGTGAGGCACCCATTCCTTGGAGATCTGAGGAAGCTCATTACAGACGACTTTGTGAAGCAGAAGTAAGTACTGAGCGAGTTCCCTTGGTCTCACGCTCATGCCTTCCTCGTGCTGGTCTGGCTGAGGAAGCCATTTCCCCAGTCCTAGGTCTTAACACTGGAGGGATGATGGAGTCCCTGGGGTGAGTGAGTGCCAGGGGCATTAGAATGCCCCCCCAGGGCATTCTTGGGGAGAGGGGGGCACACGTTGATGGAGAACAGGGTGCAGGGTATGTTACAACCACCACAGCATCCAAGCGCCTGCCCTGCAGGCTATAGGAGAATATCCCCGGCTTTACATCTCAGGAACCTGGGGCTCGAGAGTGGAAGTGTGAGCACGGTCCTTGCTGGTGAGGGGCCCATTCAGGCCTGGAGCCAGGCCCTCCGGACTCACTGGCCAGGGCCCAGCCAGTCCTTGGTCCTGGAGAACGCATGCGCACTCACAGGGTCCTGGGCGCCGGTGAAGTACGCAGCTCTTGGCGGACCGTTTCTTCCCTTCACAGTCCTTTTCCGTGGTGGGCTGCCCCAGGGCTCAGCCGGGCCACAGGAAAGACGCTGTGGCGGGGTGTGCTCAGAGCAGGGGGCCCGAAGCAGTGGCCCCACGGTTCGCAACACACACCCGACAGGAATCCAGGGGTCATTGTGACAAGGGGCACAAAGCTGTGGCCTTACCGTGGACAAACCCCCTACGTGTGCCCCTTCCCCCCTCCCCACACACAAACACACCTCCCCCGTGGCTGCTGGGCAGGAACAGACAGCCCAGGGTTTTGAAGGCCTCAGTAGTGCAAGCAGAAAGCCTGGGTAGTGAGCTTGGGGGTGGGGCACCGGCCAGAGGGGTCAGGACAGTTCTCCTGCAGGAGCTGAGCTGCTGCCTTGGGACTGGAAAGGGCCCCCCCTGGGAGCCATTAACACGACAACAGGTCTGCCTGGCTGGAGGCAAAAGTTCCTTTTCCTCTCCCCTGAGGTACCTGGAATACAAGAAGATCCCCAACAGCAGCCCACCTGAGTATGAATTCCTCTGGGGACTGCGGGCCCGACATGAGACCAGCAAGATGAGGGTGCTGAGATTCATCGCCCAGGTACCAGAGAGCCCCTGCTGGGGGCTGGGGGCTGGGGGCGGGGCCAGGGCCCGGGGCCAGGGCCAGGGGCTGGCACTTCCCATACCTTGTCTGTTTCTCAGTCATGGGCTCCTGGCGCCGTTTGTGTGTCCAGTGCGGACACTGAAGCTCAGAAAGGTGCCTGGGTGACTTGGCCATGTGAGGGATGGGGCGAAACCCCAGGCCTGGTCCAGAACGAGAGGAGCTGGACTCCAGTGGTCTTCATTTTTATTGTGATCGTGCTCGGCGCACAGGAGGATATACAGTGGGTAGCAGGTGCTCGGTGGACATTCGGCAGCAGTTAAGAATGATTGCTCTTACTTACATTGCAGTATCAGAACCGAGACCCCCGGGAATGGAGGGCCCATTTCCTGGAGGCTGTGGATGACGCGTTCAAGACGATGGATGTGGATATGGCTGAGGAGCATGCCAGGGCCCAGATGAGGGCCCAGATGAACATCGGGGATGAAGCTCTGATTGGACGGTGGAGTTGGGACGACATACAGGTGGAGCTCCTGACCTGGGATGAGGATGGAGATTTTGGCGACGCCTGGGCCAGGATCCCCTTTGCTTTCTGGGCCAGATACCATCAGTACATTCTGAATAGCAACCGTGCCAATGGGAGAGCCACTTGGAGAGCTGGCATCAGCAGCGGCACCAATGGTGGGGCCAACACCAGCATCCTAGATGGCCCCAGCACCAGCTCCACCATCCGGACTAGAAATGCCGCCAGAACGAGTGCCAGCTTCTTCTCCTGGATCCAGTAAGGTTCTCGGGCATTAAATGGGACCCTGGAGGGTGGGCCGGGAGGGTCTGTGAGAAGTCAGCAGGAGGCCTGGCACGCACGGGGAGGGGGAAGCAGTTCTCTCTGTGTGGACAGACCCTTCTTTTGTTCTTGATATCCCTCACCGTTCCATCTGTATTTCCGTTTGTTTTTGCTCCCGTGTCCTGTGTTTGCAGACAACGCTGAGGAAACGCAGCGATCACTCGTCCGGCCAGAGTGCCCCCTCAGACTCCGTGTTCACATGGCAGTCTAGGCCGCCTGTGCCTGCCCATCGGAGACGGCGTGCAAGACGAAGCTCTCTGCGCCCTGCTGCTTTCACCGTGTGCTGTTGTCGTGCTGTTGTGTTTTTGGTATCGGTGTCACATTAAAGTTGCAAAATGAAGTGGGACGTTTCCTCCATTGCCTGTGCTCTGAGTGGCCTGTGGTCAGCTCTCTGGGATGGGGTCAGAGGGCCTGCCTCTACCGAAGAGGCAGGCAGGGTGCTGCGAGACCGTGGGGGCACCTGTGAGTGTGGAGATCGCGAGTTTCGAGAGGATTCGGTCCACCTGGTTTCCCGGTTTCCTACTGGGTGCTGCGCCAGTTAGACGCCCGTGGAGGGGGCGGGAAGCAGGGGAAGGGGTGGGGTGGAGGCTATGGGTTGGCGCCTCTGTCCCTCCCATCCAGAGGCAGGATCCACAGTCTCCGCCCACCAGGACACACCTTCCTGTCCCCATCTTTGCAGGTGCTGGCGTCAAACTCTTTCATCATCATCCACACAAGCGCAGGACCTCATCCCTTAGATAAACCCCTAGGGACAATGAGATGGGTCTCAAGGTGACATCCTCTCCCCTCCAGCAGGCAGAAGGAGGATCCTTGTTGCTGAGAGTAGATTTAATGAAATCAGAGCTGCTACAGACCTCAAAGCCCATTGCCTGTGGCGGTGACCCAAGGCTTGCTTAGGACTCAGGAGCCCTTGAGTAGAAGCGGGGCCGTTCCAGTGTGGTCAAGGCCAGGCCTAGGTCCCGGTGCTTTCAAGGGCTGGGTGATGCCTGCGGAGGGTGCGGCTGGTTCTGCAGTGTCTCCGGTGGACCACAGTGAGGGCAGGGACACAGAAGTGCCCTGGGAAGAGCTCAGTAGTGGGCAGGGACAGTGTCTGGAGCTTCCCCAGGTGCCCTGGTAATGTCTGCACGTAAGGGGGACAAGGCCCCAGGTGAAGAAGAGGGCCCGAGTAGCGAAAGGGCCCCCCCTGCCCTCCCACTTGACTCTTTTCCCCTGAGAAGACCTTCTCCTCTCTTGGCCAGGCCTGCATCCTCACCTAGACACAGCTACATAATTTGCCAGGTGCAGTAGAAAATGTCAACGTGGGCCCCCTTGCTCACCAATTGTTCGGAATTCCCAGAGAACCAACAGTGGAGCCTTGAATCACCCGTGGAGCCCTTGTGAGTGCGGGGTCTCATGGGACCACATAGGTCTCACCCCCAGGAAACCGGCTCTGGCCGCACCCCCTCCCTTAAAGACAGGCTTCAAGTGGGATTCTGTCTTGTTGCTCAGTGCTGTCATTTCTGCCTCCCTGGCTGCTGGGTCTCTGCTTAGCCAAATGGACACTGATTCCGAATGAAATGAAGTCCCCTTTAGGTTTCCAGGTGCGTGGCTTGAGCTGTTGGGGCGAGGGGCGAAGGGTGCCTGGGACCCCAGCCCTGGTGTGATGAAGGATGATACGTGGCATTTCTGGTACCTTCCACCCGGGAAACTCCCGGGACCCTGTTGTGCACACAGTAGGTGCATGCCTTCTCGCGGATGAATGTGGGGCCATCACAAAGGCCACAGGTGTGAGTCGGAGCGAGCACTGTGTGCAGAGGGGACTTGAGATACGGCAGCTTATCTGGGGGGCAGGGAGGAGGCTGGAGGGCCCTGGGGAATGCAGCCAGACTGTGGGTCCCCCAGGACGGCCAGGCTGGTCACCTTGGAGGTGGCCTACGTCCTCAGCCACAGGGCAACCTGGACAACAAGGCAGGCCTCCCACCTCCCCCCAGCCCCGCCCCAGCCCCGCGCCTTCCACGGGCTCCCGGGCCACAGAGGCCCACATCACCTCTCCCCAAGCGTTTCCTGAGAACCTGCGGTGCAGGAGGCCCTCGGAGCAGGTGTGCTGGTCCCCGGGCAGCTCCACAGCATTTGCCCCCAGCTGGGCCTGTGCCCTCTGACTCCTCTGGCTCTTGTCGACCCACAAGCATTCCTCAGTTCCCTCGTGTCCAGTCATTGACTATGATGCATACATTTTTGCGAGTATTCCCTTGCCCTTTCTTCTATGGGCCTCCTACATGTTGTCACCCGACATCCCCCGCGGGGACAGGATGATGGGGCCCAGTGCCCAGATGAGGAAAGGGAGGCTCTGAGAGTCAGGACACTCACTCTGAGGCACAGAGCTGGGAAGAGGCAGCGCCGGGCCTGGCACCCAGAACCCTCTGAGTTCAGATATGTGCTCCGCCCACTGCAGGCCGCTGCCCCTGCCCCCAGGGGCTCCCGCACGGTGTCTTGGGGGTGACACCCCTGCACTCAGCACTCTCTCATGACACCCAGTGGCCCGCCCTTCCACACTGCCCGTACCACTCCCCATCTCCCTTCAGGAAGCCAGAACCGCTCGGCTCATGGCTTCCCGGCCCCGAGGTTCCTCCTACACAGGTTAGGGCCCTGCCGATGCCCTCCCAGGCCCCGGAGACATCTGTGTCGGCACTTTCCTGGGCATCCATCCTGCTCCGCCTCCTCATCTTTGTCACCATCTCCGTCAGGCCCTGGGCCTCACACTCTGGTGCACTATCTCTTTCCCACCTCGCTGATACTCTGCGGGCGTTACAGTTCCTCCTGCCGCACAGGGCGGGGCAGAACAGACTCACGGTAGGGACCCCACTTTGCCTGAGGCCTCTGACCCTGCTCTGCCACCGCCTGCACCAGTGGCCTGGCCCTGCCTTTTCTCTCTGTGGCCCTTCGAGGTCCCACCTCTCACAGCATGGGACTGGACTAGGCTACTCTGAGGGCGCCCCAGCTCTGTGGTCCAGTGGACCAGCACTCTTAGCCACCTCATGTCTCTGGGCCTCAGTTTCCTCACCTGGGTAACAGGGGTAGGAGCATGCGCTCAGCCTGCCTGGCTCAGCTCCCAGGGCAGCTGTGAGCAGCTGGTGTGGCCCACGCATGGAAGCAGGTAGGAGGTGGGTAAAGGAGTGTGCAAACAGGGCACGCGCCTGGTGAAGACGGGGAAATACTGAAGAAGTGGAAGAACACCCAAATCAATGGACGAACACACCATGGTCATGGGCTGGAGTCTTTAGCATACTAACGATGTCAAGTCTACTGAAATTTATCTATGGATTTAGTGCAATTCCAATAAAAGTCCCAGCAGGATGTATTCCAGATACAGGTGAGCTGAATCTAACACGTCTTTGGAAACTAATAGAAAGGGCAATGGCCAAGACAATTGGCAAAAAGGAAGAAGTGGGAGGAATCACATGACCTCATGTGCAAACTTATAAAGGCTACAGCAAACGAAAGTCAGTGTGACGATGGTGAAGGGATAGGCAAAGGAGCAAGTAGATCAGAGGAAGCGTTGCAGGACTCGTCTCGGCAAACACGGCCCACTCTAGACACCGAAGCAACGCAATGAAGAGAGGGTGGCCCTTTCGGCCACTGTGTGGAAACAGCCAAAGGGCCATCTGAAAGTAAAGGGACCTCCCGATGTCGCCCCCATCAATGCAATGGAAAAAGAAATAAGTGAAAGGACCTCAGGCCTTCTACTCGAACTCTAAAAATAAACTGTAGACATAACTCAGCAACATAAAACTGTAAAATGTTTACCAGGAAAAATAAATTCTTTGACCGGGGGTTTGGCAAAGATGCTTCACACGTGACACCAAAAACCCCTTTTTCCTCTGTGAAAGATACTTTTCAGGATTTGAAAAGACAGATCCCAAGCTGGGACAGTGTATATGCTAATTGCTTATCGGACAGAGGTCTTATAACCAGAATATAGAGAGAAGTGTTAAAACTCAACAATAAGAGCCCGGGCTGGCAAAACTCAGTGGATTGAGCGCGGGCCTGCGAACCACACGATCGTGGTTCGATTCCCAGTCAGGGCACATGCCTGGGATGCAGGCCAGTTCCCAGCAGGGGTCGCATGAGAGGCAACCACACATTGATATTTCTCTCCCTCTCTCCTTCCCTTCCCCTGTGAAGATAAATAAACAAAATCTTAAAAAGAAACAAAAAAAACCGCTCAACAATAAGAAAATTTCACGTCTGGAAATAAACATATATTTATACATAGTGTTCATATCCACACATATATTTATATATTAATATATTTGATGTATTAATATTCAATAACACAGACACACCGTTGCCTATTTATTATATTATATTTATTAAAATTTAATGGTATTAATATATTCGGTATTTGATTTAATATTTTATATATATATATATAGTTGGCAACAGAGCACATGAACAGATGATGTTCAACCTCACTAACTCTCAGGCAAATGCAAATGAAAACTAAGGTGAGAGACCAGTATTCCTGTACTAAAAGTGCTAAAACAAACAAAGGGAGGAAGGGAGGGAGGGAGGAAGGAGGAAAGAAAGGAAGGAAGGAAGAAAGGAAGGAAGGAAGGAAGGGAGGGAGGGAGGGAGGGAGGGAGGGAGGGAGGGAGAGAGGGAGGGAGGGAGAAAGACAAGGAATCCAAAAACCACCTGACAAGAACCAAGGATATTGAGGACAGATAGCATCTGGCTTTACCACATGTTGCTGGAGGAAAGGGACAGTGGTACAGCCACTCTGGAAAACAGCTTGATTGCTTCTCGCAAGGTTAAACATACTACTTAGCAATGCGACCTAGCAACTACACCCCAAAGGTTTTTCCCTGGAGTAGTCGAAACGTCAGTTCTTACAAGTACTTGTACATGCTCTTTATAGCAGCTCTATCCATAACCACCCAGAACTTGAAGCAATGCAAATGCCCTTCGACAAAGCCTGTTATTGCCATACAACTGTACACTATTCGGTAGTACAGAGGAATGGAAGACTGATACAATCAACCACTGGGATGATACTCACAATCATTATGCTTAGTGATCGAAGCCAGTCTCAGAAGGTTATGTTTTCAATGGCTCCATGCCCATGACTTTCTGGTGAGGACAGAGCAATCCAGACTGAGAGCAGATCAGTGGTAGCATGGTTAGGTGTGGAGAGACTGTGACTCCAAAGGGAAAGCACTGCTCACGGACTCCATGGGAGTATGGAGATGTCCTGAATCCTGCATTGTGTCGGTCACTCCAGGATTCTGTACATGTGTTACATGTCCTGGAACTGGGGGTCCCAAAGAAGTCTATGTTACTGGGTATTAATGTAAATATAAA